GCGCCCCCCGGCCCCCGTCCGGACGGGCGGCTGGGGCCCCTTCGCTGCGGGGCCGGGCCCCTTCTCGGCAGAGCCCGCCGGTCCTTTTTCCTGCAGCACTGCCGGGCCATGCCAGCCGGGGGCTGTATCGGCGCTGGGAGCGGCCCCGAGGCCAGGAGCGGCCGGGAGCTGGCAGTGGCTGCCACCAGCCCAGTCCAGGAGTGGCCACGTGGCCGGGACTGCGGGGCTGAAAAATCAGCGTGACCAACGGTGCGCAGCCATTGCTGCTTCAGCATGGCTCGCAATGAACTTTGTTTGTTTGGCCGCTTTTAGCCAGCCATGGTGCGCACAGAAGGACAAAAATGGCAGCAGCAGCTTTCCTTGTTTCCGGAGCTCCGCATGAAGAAAAGCGCTGAGTGAGCTGGCACGACTCGCACGGTGTCGGCAGAGACCCCGTGACCAGCAGTGAGGCACGGAGAGCGATCTCCCCAATGCACAGCCTGGATGAGATCAACTTTTCAGGTGCTGCAAAACTCTATAAAAACTGTTTCAGTTGATAAAGCTTGAGAACAAATGAACGTATGAACACCAATTCTCTCCCAAATCAGGAAAAGGAAAGGTGAAGACACATAAGGAAAAACAACATGGGACACTGCGGTCAGTAAAGAAGGAGTGAAATTCTAGTATGGAAGGTTTTGAGGAGAAGCCTTGCTCTTGAGCTGAAATTCTCTTTGTAAGGCTATGGTGAAGATACATGTTTGATGTATCAGACTTTTTTTTCCTCCCTGTAATTCATGAAGTGCATGGGGGGATGCAGCAGTCACCTGTAGCCCATGAGAAAAGAACACTCATGCTGGAGCATGTGGATGCTGAAAAGCTGTAATCTAATGAGAATCTTGAACAGAGAGAGAGATGAGAAACTTTGCCCCAAGGATAGAAGAAGAAAAGCCTCTGTTCCCAGAGATAGAAGAAGAGAACTTTTGGGGGGGTTTATGCCAGAACAGCTCATCCTTAAAATAGTACCTCATAAGTTGACATGGCCCATGGAAGCAGCTTTGGGAAAGCTGCAAGGCATGGGAGGGACTTTGACACTGCAAACAGATTTTCCTTTCTCAGGTGGCTGATTCACTGTGACATTAAACCACAGGAGAACTGTTTCTTATGGAGAAGTCTCCATGGCATGGCAAGAGAAACTCCTCTCCCTACAAGAACTGATGAAAGACTATTGTAGAGGTGGTAGCTGATTGAAAATCCCAGGTTTTGTCTCTATGTTGTCTGTGGGAAAGAAAAGAGGTTGTGGGAAGAGGAGGAGAAATTTTATGAAGGTTTTATTCTGATTCTTATTATTTTAGTTCTGTTAATAAAGTTTTCTTCATACCTTTTAAGTTTTGAGCCTGCTTTGCCTTCCTCCTGTGATAAATATAACATTGGATAAAAATTCGTGAAAGAGAATAAAGAATTATATGTTATATTTGTAATACTGTAAAGATGCAAAATGTAAAATAATCCAGAGATACCTTCCCGAGTCGGGCAGTAACGATCGGCAGCAACGCTTATCAACACAAAATAAAAAGCAGGACACAAGCAATCAAACCAGACAATGAGAGTGGCCCCATCGAGATATCCATCTCCTCCGCACCCAAACTGGCCACTCCACCCCGGTAGGTGCAATCAGAGAACACTCGGAGCCATTTCGCATGTGAAAAGGACTCTGCTCCGTCGAGATAAAACTGGACACTCCATTCCGGGAAATGCAATCGGAGGACACTCAGAGCCTCTCACATGTGAAAGGACTCTGCTCCACCGACCATTGACTCAGCTCAACGGATCCGGGAAGTCTATTCAAACTCTTTTGTTGGACGGTGCTTACTCCGGATTTTGCCCCAGGATACGAAAACCCCTATAAGAACCCCGGACTGCAGTGCCTACTTCATGGATTTGGGAACTCGGTACCTCTGGGTACAGACCCCTGTCCACCCGGCGCTGCGCTGATCTATTTATTGTGTTTTTTTTCTCTCGTTGCTGGTGCTTGAAATTATTTTATAATAAATCGCTTTTTTATTAACCCTATTTTGCCATTGCATTTATAACAGATTGGTGCCGTGACTCGGATCGTAGAAACTGCGGGGAATCTCACTTCCCAGGACGGGTACCCCCGCTGATTTCGGCGGCCTGGTGAGTTGAGAGCCCCCGTAGCTCGTTCTGACATCAGAACTAAATTTAGGCTGAGAAAAACCACAATAAAAGGAAAACGGATCCGGAGGAGAGAGCTCGGGAAGGCACGGAGCCTTCGGGAAGCCGCGGCTTGTTTTGCTCGTAAAACGGCTGTTGTGCACAAAGACACCCACGCAGGAAAATAGCTGTAAGTACTGCTGGTTGAGTGGGCGATCGGGCGAGTGTGTGAGACGTGATCTGATCACGGGGCGTGTGGACTTCAAGGCCGCGTTTCCATCCTCCCGCAAGGGAATTGGCCGGCCACGAAGGAAGCGATCCAGAGTGAAAGCTTTTTCTCGACACACTTGTAAAAACCTGAGACCAAAGGGTGTCTCGGGGGACTGATCACAAAGGACTAAAAGGGGAAGGATACGTCCTGTTGAGCTCGGGAACTGGTAAACTCTTTTAGTTAACGGATCAAGGTATAGGTCTGGAAGAGGATCAAGAAGTACCGATTACAAGAAACCTCAGCTCAGCTCGTTGAAGGGTGAGTATCAGCAAAGTTTGATTCCTTGCGTAAGCGCACAACGTAGAGACAGAAACGGACTCACAGAGGAGTCAAAGACAGGTAAGAAATTATATATTTGGGAAATATGGGGCAGAAAAAGAGTAAGCTTCAAAAAAAGAGCACAGAAAAAAACCCCTCCAATCGGGGGGAGGGATCACTAGACATCCCGCTGGAAAGCCCCTTGGGATGGATGCTAAAATACTGGGAAGATTGTCCCCAGAGAAAAGGTAAGTCTAAGACAAAAATGATCCATTATTGTGTAGAGGTTTAGAATTGAGAAGTCACCTCACTTGGCTGGTGTTAGGCACATTCGAAAGATGAACATGCAATGAATTGCTCTCCAATGTGGAGGGCAAAGTCCCCTCGGACTCCGAGGAGAGGGAATATGCTAGACTCTGGTTAACCGCCAGAGTAGGGCTATTCCCGATAAAACAAAAAGAAAAACGTGGGTCGAGAGCTGAACCCTGGGAACCTCTCGACCATTTACCACACCCATATCATGGACTGGCGGAGCCTTCTTCTATAGATCAAGTGGTGCCTTCAGCACCTTTGGGCTCCCAAGAACAACCCACTGAGATGTATACATCCAGAGCGGGAGAATCGGCGTCGGCAGCTGTGCCGGCAGCCCTCCCCTTACCCCCACCTGCGGACAACATAGTCACACCAACCTCTCCAGAGGTTTTTCCTGCGCAAGGCTGGGGGCCACTTTATCCGCACTTGCCAGTCCGGTCACCACAGCTG